TGAAAGCAGCAAAAGAGTAAAATGCATTTGAAAAGCAATCTGGTAATTTGAGAAGCAAAAGAATCAGAGGGCAGTACTCTGTACACTAATTTTCTGTTCAAGTGATTTTGCCGGAGCATTTACTTTGCCCATGGTATTTAACAAAGGTCCAGTTTCTGGCTTTAAGGTTGACACAGTCAATAGCACCTTGTATATGGAAATACCAACTCTCAGTGAAAAGAAACATTTCTACATTTTATTTACCAGGTGGAATAACCGTTACACTAAAGGCAAGGGCTGTTATAATCCTGATCTGAAGTTTCCTTTTTAAGCAAAACTACTAAAGTTACAGCTAACAAGATAATCACACTGGCTAAGAGCATAAAAGATGAACTTAAAAATCTCTCAAAGATTTAGTTTCAACAATGATTGCTAAAGAGAAAGATAATCAAGTACATTATTACTGATAACAGCAGAGAAAGATTCATCAGCATCTCAACTTACTCATTAAGCTTGTATATCTTCTCCGAAAAGAAGACTTCATCAAGAAGTTTGTGAATGTTGCGCCTCTCTGCAGCAAGCAATACACCATTATTTGCTAGAATTCCCAGGCAGGTGCCTGCATGTCCAATTGCTTCCATAGCATATTCAACCTGATATAAGCGACCTAGAACAAGGGTTTCAGTTAGTAAATTCAGCTCTTATCTTTGACCAATCCTGGTAACATCAAACTGGATTACCAAGCATGCTCAACCAATGGTTACTAAAAGCTAAATGGTGATCACCCCATCCTAGGATCAAGTCCTATGGCTGCTAGTGGTAGCTGAAGGTAAGGCGGATTAGTGCCTTATAGACTAACCAAATCAGAGGAAGCGCAAGCTTTCATAAGTAGCATCTGATGAAATAAGCTGGTAAGAAGAGTTGGAGGAAGCAGAGCTTCCAAACAGAAAACAGTGACTAGAAAATAAGGGGTACAATTAAACTGTCAAGAACAGATTAACTCACAGGTCCAATGAAGATGTACATCTGAAAGTTCCAAATGGAAACAAAACTTGTCCTTACACAAACTATTTTTAATGTAACAATTAATCTACCAAGTTTACTACCTCAGTAGAGCAAAGGAAAATGGATTTTCTAGATTGAGAAAGAAAACTTAGAAACTTCTACAACCATGGTTTTGTTTAGAAAAATGAGCAGCCCATATGAAATCCCTGTGTGGAAACTTACATTCCACACTAAGAGAGCCACTTGGCATTTACTCAGTTCATAACTACTACCAGGCTTCAATGCCTAGCTTATTTTACATTAGGTCTCTCCCACGCTAGTAAACAAGCCCTAAAAAGCAGCAATTACTACACTATGTAGTAGGGGTGCACCAATAAAGACTTTTTTGGCCGACACCATATTGGCCAATACTGATCCAATTGCCGATATGTAGCCCAGCAGCTTGGAGAGCAGCATCTCGCCGGTAAGCCTGTTGGAGGGAAGGGGTATGCGGGAGGGAAGGAGTGTGGCAGCTTGAGGCCCCCACAGTGAGGAAGGGAATGGGACTGGAGCAGGCATTGCCCAGCCAGGACAGGGTGGGGCATGAGATGGAGCTACAGGAGGCTCATCCAGGGGGCTCCCCACCTTTGTGCATACCCCTGGGGGGATGACACAGAGGGACATGTCCCCCAGATTTGAGCACGGGGCGAGGGCAGGGTGTCCACTGCAGGCTTGGGGCTGCCTCAACCTCTTCCTGATGGGGGTACTGAGCCAGGGCTGAGCTCGGAGTGGGCAGTGCTGGGAGGGGGGTTATGGGGTGGGCTACAGCCACCCTAAAATTCACCATAGCCCCCCCAGTCCTCCAGCATGTTCAGCATTGGTCAGTGTTGACAAAACCAAATAAGTTAATATCTGGACAGACTTTGGGTCTATTCTTGTATAGAAATTCTCATGGTTTTGCTGGGAAGGTTTCAAATACTGTAAAAAAAAAACAATCACAATCAAGCAAAGGATCTTTAATGCCTCTGTTCTTAAATCAAAAAATTATAAGTAGTGCTCCACTTTGACCACACAGTTTTGGCTGTTATTCCTAATGTGAAAACCAGATTTAAGTAATATCTGACATATCACACAAAGTGTAAACATCCAACATGACAGCTTTTCACAAGTTTAGCTGCTATTTAACTTTCAGAGAACGCTGAAGGTTCAGTGATTCATCCCCATTCACAGAAAATACCTTCTGGAGAAAATATAGTAGTTCTGGAATCATATCTTCGAGACTGTTTAAAGAAAAAAAACAAAGCAAAAACACTTACTTTTTCCATTCTATTGCCACAAGAAGAAATTTTACACGAGTCATCTTTTCAGTCACATGCAGAAGCCATCCAGTGACTCCACTCTTATTTACAAGAGACAGCAGCACAGCAGGCAATTTTGTTGCCATTAGAACCTTTCATTGGTGGTCAAGGAGCAAATATTCAATGCAGGGGTGGACAATTATTTCAGACAGAGGGCAGCTTAACAAGTTTTGGTGAGCTGTCAAGGGCCACATGGGTAGCCCTGCCCCCTAATCGCCACCTTGGGACCAGAAGTCCCACCCCCTAACCCCTGACCTTTGCCACTGGAAGTCCCTCCTATTGCTCCCCCCACCTCCATACTCCTTTGGGAGGGGGTTGCCACCTTAGAACCAGAAAAAAAAAACGAGCTATACACTAAAAGCCCAACACCTACTATAACATATTTTAATTTCATTACAAAAAAATATTTGTCATGATTTGTTTGCATACTGTATATAGAGGTGACTGCAAACATTAGTAGTCTTGTATATTGTGCAGGAGGGGGCTGGGGATGTGCACGGACAGTAGGATGGTTGTGAGGGCTGTGGCTGGGGGGGGCAATAGGGTATGCCAGGGGGTTGCGTATATGAGGACGGTTGTGGGGGCAGGGTGTGGGTGTGTGGCATTTGTGTGATGTGAGGGAAGGTGGGGAGGTATGGGGGACCCCCCCCACTTTAGGATGCAGCAGCAGCAGGCGGGGGTGCTCATGCCGGCAGGGCACAACCTCCACTGGGCAGTCTAGTCTCTATTGCAGGTGCTCCCCACCGCGCACGTGCAGCCCCTGCACTCGCACGGCACGGGAGGGATGAGGGTGGGAGCAAGGCACAATAGGGTATGTTTTGGAGGGGGGGGGAGGGGTATACACATGGGCACCTCACTCACAGCCTCATAGGCAGAAGGGCTGGGCAGTGCACAATACGTGGGTGGGCGCTGTGGGCTAAATGAGAGTGCCAGGCAGGCCAGATCTGGCCCATGGGCTGTACTTTACTCATCCCTAATTTAATATTTACCTCAATACTTTCCCTTTACTCCTGGTCTTTCTTGTGAAGTTTGAACCCAACCCTGCAATATTTCTGCGCAAGTTTTTCCAGATAAACTTAAATGTTACTACTAGCAAGAGCTGAGGATCCTCCATTTCCCACTGAACTTATTTGATTTACCTGTTGAAGAGTTTAACCAATTAAGTGAACAAGGGACTAAAGAGCTGAGCCATCAGGCATTAACTCACCATTTTGCTGGGAAGTTTAGGTTAGGCTGCAAATGAAAATGAAAGTTGTCAGGTGACAACAAGACACCTAGGGCACGCCGAAGACGCTGAAGGCATTTATTTAACCGAGAAGCTTGCACTACAGCACCAGTCCCCAAACCGGGTGACATCCC